TAGTAAAGAAAAGGTTAGGTTTGGGATGGCTTGTACCATCACATGCTCCAAATACTAATACAGATGAAGTGCAGCAGTGGTTGTGATTCTGCAAGAGCCCCGTTGATGAACACTGAGTTGTCAGGTTTTTGTTCTGGTCCTCTGCGCCCCAGCTCAGTGTCCCCGTGTGGGACAAGAGCCAGCCTCAGCTCAAAGGCTTTTCCACTTTGAAAGAATAGAAGGAAGGAAGAAAGAAGCAGAAAATATATTAAAATGAGAGATTTTGTATTAGTTATGTGATCCCCCGGGAGCAACCATAAAATTATGTGGCTTTTTCGTAGCCATTTACTATTCAATATAAAAAGGGCAGTTGCCATAACAACCACTGCATCATACGACATTTGATACCTTGGCGAGACAAGGAGTGCTCTTAAATCAACTCCCCAAATTTCATATGAAAGTAAATACATTTTACTGGTGATTCCAAGGCAAGTTTGTGTTGCGACAAGCAATGTGGTGCCATTACTCTGCTAAGCTCCTGGCCTCTGGGCCCGATCCTGCAAATGTCCTCAAGCCCTGAAGCTGACATTACTCAGCAGTGTGCAAGATTAGATGCTAAAGGAGCGTGTTTTCCTAAGTAAAATGAAATGGAAGGAGCGAATGACACCATTTTTTTTGACGTTTGTTGCTGACTGGGGAATGCCAAAAAAATAAAGAAGTTGAGCTCTATTACGGCTTAAGTTCCAGCTGCCAACTGTGTGATCAGCACAAAGGAGGGAGGTGGGGAGGTTAAAAAAAAAAAAAAAAAAAAGATGTTTGTGTAAGCTCACATTTGACTTTGGAGTCCATCTCTCTCACAATCTGGTCCACACGTGCGACATTGAGGGGGTAGAAGTGACATCACCCTTGAGATCCGCTTTGGCTCCTCTCCGTCCAGCAATAACACAGCCCCACAGCGAGGCGGGGGGTGCGCGGGCAGGGGGAGGCACCCCGCCTGCGTTGGGCCGTGCAGCACGGTGACCGCCTGGGACAGCAGGAGGCGTAAAATGTTTCTCAAATGTTAGAGGAGCTGTTTGGGTCTTGCCCAGCGGAGCCCAGGGAGGGTCCCCGCTGCTGGGTGCCCGCAGCAGCGCAGGTGGTTCCTCACAGCCTTCTGGTGCCGCCTGCACTGGTGCTCTTAAAGAGGAGGTTGACATAAACATCATGGGTATTTTTTAGCAGCCATTTTATTTCTTGAAAATATGTATTTTCCAGGCAAAGAGAGTTCTTGGGTGGCGGTGGTGGGAGATGGTATCCCCACGGGGGCCCGCGTCAGGATATTGAGCCAATATCTGCTTCCTAAATTTGGGGTTGCCCAGATAATTTGAGGATTCTGGTTAGCATATCTGTTTGATTTACTTTTTTTTTTTTTTTTTTGGATACAGAAAAAAAGTTGTATTTGTTAGACTCCTAAATATGCCGCTATTTCATGTAAGCTGAGCTGTTTCTTTCATAGGCAAATAGATAAGATCACCAAGTCACAGAGGCTTTCAGTTACTAACCCACCATTCTCCAGTGCTGCTCAAGAAACGCTGTTTTCCAGTTTCCCATACTAACTTTATATCCTTGTCCTTTGTCATCTTAAAATTCCCCTCTAACCTATACACCAGTAACTATTTTCTATGGCAAGATGAGACAAACACGATTTCTTTTTTAGTCACTAACCTGTTTCAAAAACTACTTACATTTTGTACCAAAATCAATTTTAAAATGAGTGTGACAGTGTCTGGCACTGACTTAATCTGCCCTCGCAAAGAAAATGATCATTGCAGGAAAATATAGAGTTATTGTTTCACCATCGTCTTCAAGGCTGAGAGCTCCCACATCACCTTCTGTCCTGCTCAGTGCTGCTGCTGGAGCCCTGCCTGCCCAGCACTGCCCAGCAGCAGCCGTGCTCTGTCCCGTCAATTAAAATACTTCTCATTTTTGACACAATTCTTTAAGTTAATCTTTCCACTGATGTTCGTCATCGGAGTGGAATTTGCATTTGTTTTGTATATTTTTAGCCAGTGGCCAGTTTTCCACAGCAGCCTTGAAAACTATTTAGCCTGAATTGTTGGCATTTCACTTTGCACAGGCACAGTGTTTTGTAGCCGAGGGTTGGGAGAGTTTTTTGAATGATTTGTAGGCTTTTTGAATGCAGAAGGCTTACACCAAGCACAAGTAAGGAGGGTACGTGTACAGACACAGCCTCTGTACATGAGTTCATGTTTTCAAGCCTGTGAAACCTTGGTTGTGAGTATGCGGAGAGCAGTCACTGCCCCCCCCAAAAGATGTGAGAAATCACCCATGCAGCAGGCACAGGGAGGTCATCCGAAATAACACCACGACTTCCCATTTTCATCCCCAATCTGACATGCTGTCTGCTCTGCCAAATATCTGAAGGGATTTTTCTTTGTCGTGTGAGAATGGTGTATTTTTATGGGGCTTTGCTTTGCTGGAAGCTGTTCCCCATCCATGTCCGTGGACACTGACTCAGTGAAGTTAACCTCGGGGCTCTGCGGTCCTCACATCTATCAATCATGTTTCGCGCTCAGTGATGGCTGTTGGGCTTTGATCTGGCACATCTCAAGGGGGATCTCCTTTCACAGTTGTGCACTCAAAGAAATTCGGCACTTTCCAACGAGTACTTACAGTGAGATGTGTGGGCAAATAGTCACTTCAGTGCAAGGGACAGAAATGCCCAACCTTGTAAATATAGTGGCTAAATTAAAGGATTTAGGGCTCCCCCCGCACCTGCAACATCCCACAGATATCAAGCGGTTATGATGAACCTCCAGGCAGGTTTCCAGCCACAACTGTATCCTCGAGCATCTGTCAGAAATCCTTTCCTGCGTGTGTCTATCAGGCTCCAAAAAGTAATGCCTCGTTCATTTTAGAAATTGTTTGGATGCCCTGGGTTTAAAGAGGTTATAAAAAAGAAAAGGAAAAGGTTTTTGAGGGGTCATTATAGCCCAGGGTACTACTTTGGAGCAGGAATACAGACTATTCACTCAGAGTGTATTGAAAATTAGGCTCCTAATTTTCCCTTTGGGAATCTCGGTTTAAGATTGTTTTCTTTGTCCTGCTGTTGACTTGCTCTGACTCTGGGGACAAGTCACCCATCCTTGCTAGACCTCGGTGGTTTGGGACAGGTGGTGAGGAGAGCTTAGCACATCCCAGCTTCTGCTCTGGACAACTATTATTTATCAGTTTGGCTCAACTCTTAATTATTGAAAATTAAAATGCCCCTTCTTATGAAAGTCTCGTCCATCTAGCATTATTCATCTTGGCTTTGTTTTACGAGTGGCTGATACATGAAAGCAGAGAAAAGACTCCAAACCCAAACCTGAGCCGACCCTCTCAGATCTACACCCTGCACATCAACAGTCGCAAAGTGGTTAAGAGACTTGATGCAAAGCTGATAAAATGCCAAAAATTCCTCATTCTCTCTCTTGGGGAGCAGGGAGGGTTGTCTGGAAAATGTCAACAATAAAAATTGCATTTAAGTGGTATATAATGCAGCCAGCTACTGTGGGCAGAGTTACGTGCAGCCAGACGAAGGGGTTTAAAGAGCACAAGCTCCCTACGCTACCTCCTGTCCCAGCTGGAGCACAGAGAGCAGTGCTGCCACTGCGAGCTCTCCTCAGCACGGTCGGGCATGAAATAGAAGGGGTTCCTGAACACGAAAGCCAAGCATAGAGCAAATGTCTTCTGTCTTCTTAGTAATTCTCATTTAAAATTGGCCAAATCCTCAATTACTGTAAACTGATGTTGCTCTGATGCATTGTGTACATCCATCCATCCATCCATCCATCCATCCACCACTGGTTGAAGACACCACCTACTGCAGTCTTCCCTACTTGACCTGTTGGCCATGTCTCCATTGAGGACAGATGTGCCCTTGTTAGCTGCTTTGGGCACCCCAGTAAGGCTGCCCAAAGCTTGGCTGGAGGTCCTCTTACCGCTAGGACCAGCTGGGCAGGGAGAAGACAGACTCAATTAGGCAATTTGGGAAAGGGAAGAAGAGAATGAAAAGGGTTACACCAAGAAAACAAGAAGAAAGCAGTATTTCTTCTTTGTGCGGTAAAAGGAATAAAGGCTTTCCTTAAAACTGTCCCTGTTCTTAAAAGAAATTCCAGTTCTTAAAACCATTTTCTTCTGTAGCGTCTGGGCACATCCCTTCTTTGTGGAAGATCACTGCTGCGGGGCCAGGCTGGGACAGGCAGCGTGGCCGCTCCCTGCTCGGGCAGCCCTGCTCGGCCCCTAACGCCTCATCAGAGCAGCCCTGCGTTGGCCTGAGCCTGGGATGAGCAATCCCCACTGGAGCTCGGCTCTTCCTCACCTCCCCAAGCCCCCACCAAAAATAAGTGCTTGGCCGGCTCCTGCCTCTCACTCACAGAGACTTGGGAAGAGCAGGAGCTGTGGGGTGGCTGCGAGGGGTGCCTGGACCCAGGGCAGGGCTGCTCCACAAACGGGAAAGGAAAAAATAAATCTTCTTTTGTAGTTTTCTTTTACCAGCAGATAAAAGAAAAATAAGTTGCTTTTTTTTCCCCCCCTGTGGTTTGTGTGATATTTTTCTGCCTCTGCTAAACTGTGTATTTTTCAGCTCAGTAAAGTATTTAATAGGAATCTTTACGGACCAGTCTGCTGCTGAATTATATATATATATATAGTACAGCTTCAGCATGAGCTGGGAAGAAAAAAATTATGACTTTTTTTCCACCCAGACTGACTCTGTCCAATAGCAGTAAGAAGATGAGGGTTTAACAGCAAATCTCAAAGTTCAGTTCTGCTTGCCAGAGCAGCAGATACCTTTCTGCCTCGGTTCATGTGCACTTTTATAATGTAATTTTCTCCTCTAATTCGAAAGCAAAGCTAAAGCTGAGCGCTAGCGGGCTTTTGTGTCCTGCTAGCAAAGTCTGTTGAATAGCTATGCCTTGTCCTTTTTTTTTTTTTTTTTTAAACTGGATTTCTTACTTTAGCATCAATTGTTTTTTCAGATCATTCTTAATTCAATGCATAAATACCAGCCACGACTGCATATTGTGAAGGCAGATGAGAACAACGCTTTCGGGTCGAAGAACACAGCCTTCTGCACCCACGTTTTTCCAGAGACATCCTTCATATCAGTGACTTCCTACCAGAATCACAAGGTAGGGTGCTTTTCTGGCTAAATGTACTTGATTTTTGTTTGTGGGATTTTGCCACTCGCAGCTCTCTGCTGCCGACGGCTGCAAAACGATCGTCCAAATTGCAGCGGCACAGCGACGTCTGCTTTGATGAACAGGATCTGTTCACTCGGAGGGAGGACGAGAGGTTATTATGCTGCTATTGTGCGGCAGCAAATGCCTGCTTTAAATGACATATTTCCATCCCAGCATTAAGCAAGAGCAACGAGCTGGAGGATGCAGCTAAGCAGCGGCATGAACATCGCTGGGTAACAATATCTTGGCAAACCCTGCGAGTCCAGACACTGATGAATCGTTGTGCTCATAAACGCTAAGATGTCATTCAAAACAGCAAGCAAATCTAATAATGACTAGTAAAGCTTGCTCATAAATCTACAGTGAAAAGTAATTATGGTGTGTGTATTTAGCGAGACATACGAGGAATGTAACCATAAAAACCCAGCTAAGAGCCCGCTCTGTGGTTAACACATGAAGGCAGGCGGGAGTTCGGGGGTTTGGGTTTGTTTTGGGGGGAATATAAAGTACAAAGGGCTTAGGGCTGTGCTTTGGGTGCGTGTCACTGACACCCGCTTATTGCAGGGTTTGGCTTCGCTTCTCTTTTGAGCGTGCTGGTAGTGGCAGCAGTGGGTAGCGTTCCCTCTGAGGGCTTTACCAACCCAGGTTACTAGCAGGATGGACAGCAATGTGACAGTTCATTGCCACCTCCCCGTGACAGAGGGTGCACTGTCACCAGGGCAAGGGGAGGAGAGGATGCCAGGCAGGGGATGGCGAGGCTCTGGTTTCAATCCTGCAGCCTATTTGCCTGTGTTTGCACAAGCTGCTGCTCCCCTGTGGTTTTCCTAAGAGTAAAGTCTGACTGCAGGGTTGTTTGAGGATTAATTGGAGTTTTAAAAGTACATCAGGATTCATAAATAAAGGTGCAGAGAGAAGGAGCACCGCTGGAGCCCTCCTGTCACCCCGAATGTGAAATCTGCCATGTGTTACTGTATCTGCTGCTTTTCTACACATTCATAGGAAAATACTACAGGAACAGGAACATATGTGAAATTCTTCCTCCCCAATAATCTGACCAGACCTTTTCCTCCCAAGCAGGATGCCTGTATGCCCTTTGATGCTTGTAGCGTAGAGTCCTTGCAAGATTTTGCAATTAGTGAGCCAGTTAAAAGGCTCAGAGCAGAAGTATGGATGTGTGTGTTATGGTAAAACACAGGGAAAAAAAAGAAGTCCCTATTTGGACACTGAAGTGAATCCTGTATGAAGAGTTGTAGCTGTTGGTGTGAAATGACCAGTTGCCCAAACATGGTTAACCAAAAAGGCTCGAAAGAGCTTATTTAATACCTACTTAAAATGTCTGGCGTGTCAATAGTGCCTTTCATCCCTAAGGTTCCCAAAGTGCTTCGTAAACTTAACACTTCCACTGTCATTGCCAGACAGCCACTGCTGGGGGGAGGCTGGTACCTGGGTGGCAGCACAGGGTGGACCCAACCGATTTAGGAAAACTGTCCCAGACGAGCCCTAAGTCTTCTGTGAAGATCCTGCGGGGAGCCGCTGTGCTGCTGCCCAGCACTTGCTCTGTGATTTGCAGGCTGTGGGGGTTGGATGCTGCCTGGCAAGGGGAGCACGAATAATTGTCTTTCTAAACAAAAAAAAATGAGGTTTGTGGTTGCAGAGCTGACTGTGGGCTCCCAGAGACAGAAAGCTGATGAGTGCAGCTTGGTGAGGAAGTTGTAGGTGTTTATCCAAAACTCCCTCCTGGGCTGGGTGAAGCCAGGGGAAGGTGACAAGGAGTGACTGAAGCCCTGATTCTCCTCATGTCAGAGGAAAACCACAGTCACCAAATAACAAAATTAAATTAAGATGTACAAACCTGATGTCAGGCTGAGGGTTAGGAAGGGCCCTACACTTCACGTGTTCCCTCAGCTGACTGGGAGCTACCCTGGAGCTGCTGCGGACTGCGGGAGCAGAGAGGAAAAGCTCGAGCCCTCGAGGCTGGTTAAATTCATGTCACCACCTTCCTTCTCCATCACAGACACCGACCAGCTGTTTTCTCAGGAGTTCGTTGGTGAGGGATATTTTTCAGCATTGCTAAAAGTGTGGCTGTTCGTTATAGCCACATTCTTGCAAAATCATCCGAAGGCAGAACTTGCTCGTTATCCTCACCGCTAAAATGGGATGCAGGCTGGTGCAGGCCCACGGCTGGCTAGCAGGGAGGAGAGGGCTGTGCTGCCTCGGACAGAGATGGGACCCGAGGGCAGTGGGTCTGCAGGGAGATACGTGTCCTCGCCTCCCTACCAGTGTCCTGCCACGCTGTCACCTCGCTTCCTCCTGGAAAAGGTATTTTCAGTGATAAATGAGTGCCCAAGGAGATGATCCTACCCACTGGTGTCCCTTAGCAGGGAAGGACATTAATAAGACCTGTTCATTAATAAGGCCTGACCAATTCTGCCCGTGATGTACGTGTTAGACCTATCTATAACCTTACTGCCAAAGAGCCTTTGGTGTATGTTTGGGCACAGACATACATACATCTCTTTGGGAGGTGGACAAGGGATATTTTTAGGAGCTCCTATGTACCTACAAATGTTCTGGTGCTGTTCTGGCATCTCCTGAAACCTTCTCAGGTGAGCTTGTTCACTACCTGCTTGTCTTTACGAAATCGTTTGTTAAAGAGGTGATGTATATTCATTTTTCACTGGACAAGCAAGTACCTCTTCCCAACATTCCTGACTGTTGAATGGCTTTGGTTTGTACCTGCCTTACAAAGGGAAGGGATTGGGTGGCAGGGTTGGCAAGGGAAAACTATAATTACTGGGGCTGTAAGACAGACGAAGTAGTGAATATTTTTGAAGGAAATTTCACACATTTTTTTTAATAGAATTTTCAAGAAATGGCAGAGCTTTCACAGTTCCCTTAAAAAAGCTGAGCTCCATCAAAATTAAGTCTAGCCTAAGCCGATTCTAAGGCATTTTGACCCTTTTAATACACCACAGCCCCTGGGGGGAAAGGCAGTTGTTGCAAAAGGCAGCAACTTTCCCTCGCCCAAAGCCAATTCACTATTTGCAGTATGAGTCTTTTCACAGAGGAAGAATGACTGAGTGAAGAATGTAAAGAGATCTAAAATTGTTATGGACACGAGGGAGAGCCACGCTGCAAGGAACAGGAGTCTTTTACATGGAGACATAGGGAATCTTCTTTTAAATCAGACAAATATATTCTCTCTAACAAGAGCCCAGAATAAGAATGCAGGACCCAAACTTAAGGAAATTTGCATTCTTGTCCTCACTCGTAATCAGCAATGTTGTCAGCTTTAAAAGCTGCTTCTGCAAGGTCTCAGTTTCTCTCTCAGTGCTGAACGCCGAGGCGCAATCTCTGCCACTGGCATCTTTAGAGGGCCGAAACTCTTGTGGACTCCGCATTTCATGGGGTGTGGTGTAGGACAGGGCAGCCAGAAACCTACAGCCTCAGACCTGCTGCGGCATGTACGGTGCTGATCCCTTTTCAAACGCTTTATGGTTTCATTCTTTTAAAGATAACCCAGCTGAAAATCGAAAACAACCCCTTTGCCAAGGGATTCAGGGGGAGCGACGACAGCGACCTGCGTGTGGCACGACTGCAAAGGTACGGCTGAGGGGCCCCAGGAGGGACGGCGGTGAGGAGGTGCTCAGCGGGGCGGCCTCCTGCCCACCTCGTCGGGGTCGGGGAGCTGCTGCAGTGTGACCGTGGGTGCACACACATGGGCATGGGTGCACTGAACCCACGTATGGGCAGGCAGGGTCTGACACGCAACCAGCCAGCACACCCTTCAGACCCGTGCCCTGTGCAGAAACACAGCCTCACAGCTGGGCTTGAATCCTTACTCTGCTCCTAACGTGCTGCACCTCTTTGGAGAAACAGTTAAAAGGTGCCTACACCGTGGAGACATCCCATTTTCTTGTGCTTGAGGGCATTAGGGCTTTTAATGCCATTTATACCCCTGAAAAGCTCTTCCCATAATTCAATGACACACACTGCTGTTGTAATACTTGCCCACACCCAGCAGTGTGGTGAGTGTGAGCTCATCGTATTTGGCAAAGGGTGTAGAAGTCATTGGATGAAGATGCTCTAGGGAAGCCAAACTAGTATTGCATCCTTCTGCTAATGCTGGTTGCTGTCTAACTGGTAAAAACTTTTTCTCACCTCTTTTAGCAAAGAATATCCAGTAATTTCCAAAAGCATCATGAGGCAGAGGTTGGTGTCCAGTCATGGCCAGCTTTCAACAAAGCCAGATGTTAACCCACTTCATGGGAATCACCAGACTCTTCAACATTATCAGTATGAGAACGGTGCTCACATGCAATTTGCAGCTTCAGATACTCAAGATCTGCCACTCAACACCTTCACAGCACAGAGAGATTCAGGGCTCTTCTATCATTGCCTAAAAAGAAGAGGTAACTCGAGTTTACATCTAGAAAAATATTACAGCAAATAAACCTAAGAGCATGAGCACTGAAAGCATACTGCTAACTCCAGTTCGTTTTGGCTCGGTCTCTTAGGCCTCCATCTTCAAAGATACTGATGTGATCGAAGTGTTTTAGAGGGTCAGGGCCCAAGAGCTGGGTTTTGGGCAGTTATTAGTGGTTTTGTCCCATAGAAGGCAAATTCAGACTCTGAGTCAGAGCTGAAAAAAAAATAATCAGGATGCATAATTCAAATGGCATCTACGCTGGAAAATTATCCATTGTTAGCATCAGTTGAATTAATAATTGTTTGGAGGAGGCCTTATCTATCCCAAAATGTTCTGACTGCCATTAGCACTAATGAAGTTATACACATCCAACACTATTCCAGGACGAAGCCATTAGCAGTTCTCTCAATGTCTGCAGATTAGTGAGACTGTAGTAGCTGGGTGTAAGCACCCCTTTCTTCTTATCCACTGGTTCTCAAGTTTAAGTGAGCTGTAACTACATTCTCTTCCTTTTAGTCCAGCGCCAGATGAGATCATGGCATGTTTTTGGTCAAATGGAAAAATTTTGCACAGAAAAAAGAATCCTATTTGCATGTCTCATTGGTCACTAATTTATTTAAGCTGTGAGACTCCTCTGATCAGGGGCAAATGAAGACTCTAACAGCACCAGTAATGAGGACTGCAAGGCAAATGTGTAATTTTAGCAGCTGTTTAATTAGCAGATGTATTCACTAATTCATCCAGAGAATATTCCTAACAACTAACAGAAAGCTGCTGGTAAACACAGCCATGGTCATGTAACCCGCAGGAGAGGGGCTACAGCTTCTCAGTATAAAGCTGAGGGGAAGGACTGATGACTGGGAAAGGGCTCCTTTATCTGGAAATATTTCTGCAGCTTTTGACGTGAATATCTGGGAAATGTATAGTCATTTTTGTAACGACAGGAAGGCAGGCTGCGATAAGACCCTTTAAGAGACTTCTTGAATTTGTCAGGAGTAACACTGCGAGAGTGTCCGGGACCTCTGTTATCTGGATGAACGTGGAGTAATCTCTGATGTGAGAATAGTAGCCCTAGCCACTCACTTAACCTGATAAATGTCACCAGAATGCTTTGAGGCTGAGGGGATTAGCCTGACATTTGCAACACAATGTCTTTTTGATGCTGTACATTGTCTTTCCAAACTGAAATGGTTTAACTGGATTAATCTGAAAAAGAGCACGAGTTGTTTGGTGAACTGATCACAGAGTGCATGCTCGGCTTTAAGGGGACTCCATAAAACCACCCCAGGCTCTTAGCTGATTGCTGTCAAACACGGTTGCTCTGGGAGCTACTCCTGAATGTGCTTTTTTTTGTTGTTGTTGCAGAAAGTGCTCGGCACCTGGACCTGCCCTGCAAACGCTCCTACCTGGAAGCCTCCTCTTCTGTAGGAGACGATCACTATTTCCGTTCCCCGCCTCCGTACGACCAGCAGATGCTAAGCCCTTCCTATTGCAGCGAGGTGACTCCGAGGGAAGCGTGCATGTACTCTAGTTCTGGGGCCGAAATTGCTGGTGTCTCAACAGTTGATGACTTGCCGCCTCCACCTCCCCCCTTGAGCTGCAATATGTGGACTTCTGTCGCACCTTACACCAGCTACAGTGTTCAGACAATGGAAACTGTCCCTTACCAGCCTTTCCCTGCTCATTTTACTGCCACCACCATGATGCCGCGGCTCCCATCCATCACGGGTCAAGGCTCGCAGCCGCCAGGTAGCAGCCACTTCAGTGTCTATAACCAGCTGTCCCAGTCTCAGGTTCGGGAGCGTGTTCCTTCTTCATCTTTCCCAAGGGAAAGGGTGCACCCGTCTGTGTGCGAGAGAAAACCCCCCTCTCCGCACCTAAATGCGGCGAACGAATTCCTGTACTCACAAAGCTTTTCCTTGTCGAGGGAGTCATCGCTGCAGTATCATTCAGGGATGGGGACTGTGGAGAACTGGACTGACGGATGACTCTGACGGCCAAGCGATGCCACAGCCAACGTTACTGCTCCAGGACAGTGTTCAATCAGTGTTGATACCTGTGGGTAACTTGCACTTCAGTGAGACAAACGTGCATTTCCAGAGGGATTTGTGTGGGTGAAGAGCTTGTATCTTCAGACACATGGAGAATTACATCTCCTGTCTCAGTGGGCTGGATTCATCAGTCTCTTACTGACTCCCAAATAAATTAATTCTCACGTCTTCATTACTGATCCAGTAGAAATCATCTTCATGAATAACAAGTGAAGTAGCTAGTCATGTTCTTTTGCTTGTAATACTAAACATCCATGAGCAAATTTTGGCTATTTTGGAAAAATATGAGCTTCACTGTTATGGTGCTTGGTTCATGAAGTCACAGCATCCCAAAACTCAAAGGAAAAAGCGATCTATTTGGTTGCGCATTTCAAGGACTGCTGTAGCAGCGCTTCTTTGGCTCTTTTTATCTGTACAAATTACTCCTTCCTCTGGAAGTGACGGAGCCGTAGGAGCGCAGGGGCCGGCGGGGAGGCTCGGCGGTGGGGTCAGGCAGCTGCGGTGCTGCTCCGGTACCTCCCCAGCACAGCGCAGGGCTCGTGCCATGGTGCGGAGAGGAGAAGGCACTGATGCACAAATGTCTCTTCTTCCTCCCACAACACCGTCATTCGTGGCTGTGGGGAAAACTAAGGAGTGAAGCATTACGCCCAAGACCAAACAGCAAATTAATTGCAGTGTTAGGAACAGACCCAGTGTCTTCAGACTCCCATCCATTGGTTGAATCACACTTGCTTATTGCAATATATTTATGAAGTTTAAGCTTAAAAGTTGCTAATACTTTCCAGAAACGATTTCTGTGTTTGCTGGTCCTTGATTTCTTTCGTATTCAGCTGAAATGCGCCTTTTGTGCTATGTTTGTTTCTTTTGCAGCTAACTCGGAAAGAATTGTTTTCAGCATAAAGGAGTATTTTCTTAATTGTGGGGTGGGAAGAGTTCCCATTACCTCTCAGGCTTTACAGTGTACAAATATTTGTAGAACAGGTAAAAATCTGTAACCAGTGTATACATTGCAACTATTGTTTACTGTGGAAGTATCTTGAACTGACTCCAGCGCTGGCTTTGCCTACCAGAGCGTCCCTACGAGGTAAGGAGGGATCCATCACTCAGCGACAGCCACGGCGTGAACCGGCCTCGCGTGGGAAAGCAAGCTGCGCTCTTTCTGGAACGAAAATCCCATTGCCTTCACCCAAAAAGCTCCTGAGCTGGGATGCATCCTCCTCTGGTCTGCAGCATGTCCATCCTGCTGAGCTCCCAGGCAATGCTGCCCCAAGGGCTGGCAACACAGGTGATGCTGGGAGTTTGGTTCCACTAAGAGCACAATATTTAAGCTTTAGGCATGCACAGCGGGGTTTTTTTTCCCCCCTCCCCTGCTTCCCAAATGGGCAAAGGCAAAAAGCTGAAACACAAATTTGGAAGTCGGAAGGTACTTCTGTGTGTTGATTAATCCATTCCAACGAAGAGGGGCTGATGGATGAGGGCGGCTGCTTGCAGTGAGACAACCCTGAGGCCACGAAAGTGGAGCTCACGTTTCAACAGGACAATCTCTTACACCCATTCAGCAGACCATGTGTGTGACTGGTGTGGATTTTGTAATCAGATTTTGGAAATCACTACAATTTTTGCATGCTGAATAGCTATTTATATACATATATATATTTTATATATATATATAT